TGTGGAGAGATTGATGTCACAGGGCACGGACGACATTCTTGCTCTTTTTTATTTTCTGGCGCTGTGCTTGGCCTCCTGCCTTCACTATGTCCTGACAAGTACTAGGATGTAAGTGCCAAACTTACACAGCAACCCAGAGATTTTGCTGGCATCGGTGCCACTTTGACGCACCAAGCCAGTCGCTAGCCAAGCAGACCGGATAGGTGCGATGAGCTTCAGAGTCTGCGACAACATGTATGCTATCAAGCAGATGCTGTCAGTTCTTCTCTTTTACTATGGGGCAGCTTTTTAAGTCAGTGTATTTAGTAGGACGGGCCGTCAATTGTGACGCGATCAGCAGGCTTCGGTTCCTTCAGTTAACATTCAATCGGAAAAGAGATGCTAAATTGGGGGGTCTTGACCGCAAGAATTTCCTGCTTTCTCACCTGAAGCAACCCCCAACCGGCAGCAGATTCAACTAGAATTCCCAGAAACGTACTAAAGGAGAGCCCAATGAGTATCAGACGAAGAGAGATGTGGCTTCACTTCCAGGCCCTTCAGCATTGAGCATACAGTTGGGAGAGTCTCAACACATACCCTGTGGACTAGGCAGTGGGGACCCCCATACTCCCTCTTACCAGCTGTTTACAAAAAACATCATCAACAGTTGTTGTGTTCGTACGGCTTGAAATTTGGAGAGGCTCTGAGATTTTGGCTTCCCAACACTGGAAGCATCTATTCTCCCCAGCATCCCTACTTAGGGCTGTAATCATATTCGTTCCGACGCCTCAAGCTCGAGTCACATAGCATCTCTTCTCGCCCACTGTTCAAATCCCATTCTTGTAGCACTGCTGGGTCAGGGGGCAGGGGTGGGTGGGTGGCTTTAGGCTAATATGTTTACTTCAGGGCGCCTGAGGGAGCCTGCAGAGCGTGTTGAAGGAGCCTATAATATATATCCCTTTGGAACCCGTCCTCCAAACATAGAACAAAAGGACATGTTTCTTCCTTTAATCAACTTGGCCAGTATCGAGCCTAGACTACACGCAGAAAAAGCCCCGCAGTGGAAAGACCGTTCGTAGGCGTAAATATGGCCTTACAGCAAAGTACCACACTTCATGGAGCGTCTCTTGGAGATTGAGACTGGCATTGAGAGCCCTTATGCAGGGAACCTGCTGATGTTGGCATAGTATATTACAGTATATTATACAATAATATACTACAATATATATATTAATACACTATGCCGTTGAGGCTGGGGGATCTTTGCTTGGCTTACTTGTCTGAACCTGCGATGCGTAGCTTTCTCACCGCAAGACCCTGCAGCCTGCCTTGCAAAGTGGTTGCTCCTTCCCCCGGATGCCTCGGCTCAAGCTAGCTCAGCAGTCTGCGTAGTTTGCCTGGTAAACCCACTGCCTTCTCCTAGTCATACATATTCATCTCGATTTCCAGCTGGTGATTTTTGCGCAGAATTGGTGCTGGGACACCTTGTAGGAATATGACACAATCCCCGCTTGTAATTGAAACTGTGCAACAAACCCTGCAGTCAGTGTCGTTGTAGTCTGTGCTTCCATGATCCTGAACGGATGTTGCCGCCTAATGGCTCTCTTCACGAAGGACGGCCCGGTTTGAGGGTCAGGGTCGAGAGGCCAGGGACGATGATCACTTGGGTTTTGGAGTTGGGGCTCGGAACAGGCAAAGGCGCATAAGGTGCTGGGGTATGGGACTGGGGTGACAGTTTTGATTGGGAGAGATCTGGGGCCTAAGAGAATTGCCAAATGTCCTTCCCAGCGGCCTTCCTACCTAGGAATTTGTAGTCTCGATGTTGGGCCACGCCTTAGCATTCGGGCATCTGATACTTTAACAGGCTGCGGGTTTTAGCTTCTGTAGAGTTTTGGTTTTGAAGCGCAGGTTCTTGAGCTAGCCCTATTGTTTTCAAACGCAGCGATGCGTCATCCGCGATATTCATGGATCTGGGGTAGAGCCAAGCTTCCCAAGTGTGATGGGCAGTTCTGAATGAGGCGGTCCGTTTGTGTAGCCTGAACTTCACATCCATCCTATTACGAAAGGGCAGCCGCAGAGGAAAAGCCACACATGGAAGCACGCAATCCTCAGCAACAGTCTCAGCCCTAAAATAGGCAGTAGCCTTTGAGTGGAGCTCTTCAGGTTCGGACTTAGATTTTCAAGGCGCTAAGGTCAGCTGTTCGGCTCCTTTTCTCCAAATTGTGGCAGATACGAGAAGATCACACAGTTCGAGGTCAGGGGCTGCAACCGGAGTCTAAGGGGTCTCTAGCACCGTTTCTATCTTCAGGTTGCAACCAAGCTGTCCTTGCCATGAGTTGTTCTTGACTTTTTCTTGTGGATGACTGGGGGGGGGGCGGGGGTTGCGATTTGATTCATTACACCTGCAGATTTCACAGCCCTGAACCCACAACTCTGCAGTAGAAACTTCGAACTTTTCTATAGCTTGTGTTGACGAAAAGTCGACAGCCCTTAACTTAAGCAGATGTGCCCAAACGTCCACCACAAGTTGCTTTGTGTATGCTTGTCCTTTTTGTATCGTACGGCCTGACTGTATTGTTGATGAACACAAACAAACGACGTGAAGACGAGGTAACACTGAACACGGCAACCACCATGATGCCAAGTGCAATAGGATTTCTTGGCCAGTAGCAACATCTACGCTATTGTAGGTTCAAGCCATGGTTCACACTTTCAATGCCTTTGGGACCTTTGTCCTTTCAGCTCCTGCATCTTGCATGAACACAGCCCACAACTTACACCTGGGCGGAATTTGCAGCATCATCTCCATGGTCGATGTGTCTTGTTTGTTACGCATTTTGGCTGCAATTGTGACTCCTGTTGTTGATGCCGTTCTGATTGGTGCCAATGTGCGTACTGTACTGTTGCTGCCAGAAATTCGAGAGTTGTCATGTTGGTTCTTACTTCTAATCTTGTCGGCTTTGGGAAGAATCTGGGCGTCCGTGCTCTGACTCCAGTGAAGTTCTGAGGTAGGAGATCCTTAGAATTGCAGCATGCAGGCAGCTGTCTCTTATCGTAGCTATTGAAGCGCTTGCACGGCAAGCCTAGGAAGTATGCCCCGTGAGGAACGGGCTTCATGCCTTGGACTGTCAGGATTCAGCGACCCCTGAGGACAGCAAGCAGTATTTCAAAGCGACATACATGCATATCTCTATACGGCAAGGCCAACCCAGCCAGCACTTTACGGCGCTCCTACGTAGCTAGGCCTTCAGGCGTGGTCAAGGGACCACGCCCCCGCCGCCATGGACCCTTCAGCAGCTGGAATTATCGTCACAGCTAGCTTTTTGGGCTCATTTTGTCGCTCAGCGACAGGCCTGGAAACAAGTGCATGCACAGCGAGTGCTCTGCTGGCTAATGCTACCCGCAATGCTGCCATGACGGTCCTGTGTCGACCTATTCTCAACCTAAAGTAGAATTGGGCCAGTCAGACAAGATTTTGTGCACTTGTGTACTGCGAAGCCCAACATGGCGCTCTTTGAGTGGTGAGTAGGTAACACAGAACAGGCTCGTTCTTTCTCGCGTTTTGCTTAGGTGTAGGTGTGTGCGATTTGCTTTAGGTCAGTCTTCCACGCTGCAAAGCTCCTGTCATTGAGAAAGCTAGGTTGCCATTTGTTATTGATCTTTGCCAGAGCAACCAGGAACAGCGGCAACGCGGAATCATCCTTTCAGGATCGGCATGACGGGTTCTGTTTGTGAACGAGCATGAGAGAAGCAATACATACAGCAATAGCGACAGTAATAAACAGCGTCCGTAATGACGCTGATATGCTGATGATGATGATGATGATGATGATGATGACGATGGTGGTGATGATGATGATGATGATGATGGTGAGGAGGAACACCCACTGCGGGGCCCACCAGTACAGTAAAGGTGGCGCAACATGTTTGGAAGTGTCAGGCTTTTGTTGGGAGGAGAGAATATCGTTCGGCTTTGAGAGGGGCAGGTGACCGGGAGACATGCGCTGAATGTGTTTGCCAGGCTTTGGCGGCTCCATTTTATTCATCCTTGTGTGCCTTGTCAAGGTTTTTATGTATCGCTCTTGTTTCCAATGGGATGAGGAGTGCCACTAGCAGCAGTGGCGCTCCTGCTACAGTCACTAGTAGCTACTCCTGCTGCTCCCGCTATTGCTCTCGCTACTGCGCTTGTTGTTGCTCCCGCTGCTGCTACTGCTGCCGTTGCTGCTGCCATTGCTACAGACAGTCTGGTTACACCGCACTGAAACTTCATGTTAATGATGACTAGGATCGTGCCTCTACCTGAATACCCGTGTCCGTCATTGAAGCATCAGCATTAATCTGGTGTGAAATTTTCAAGGACCTCGCCAGCCACGAAAGGTGAGGGCTTGGAAGTTCATCATGTCAAGCCATTTGCTTTTGTATTGGATTCTCCACTTCAGCTTCAGACCATTCTTGTGGTCATTGGGGCTGTCTTCGGAGTAGAACCAGAATGACATAACAGAAATCATGACAGGCCCGGCGACAGAGCCTAGATGTTCTTTTCCAACGAGATGTAAGTTGAATCCTAGAGAAGTATGTCGGTTGGGGCACTGACATCCCCAATCGCAGTTGCAACATGTTCGTAGAATTTACGCATGTCTAGTTCTTGTCTCTGACCCAAGAAGATCACCCCTCAATTGGCATCTTCGAGTTCGAGCCGTTACTTTGGAATTTCATTTGATCAAGATCGCAAGCCCGAGATGTAACCAATTCCCAGGCATTGGTATGCTTCTCGTGATATAGGTCAGAGCAATGATGAGGCATGATTGCAGCAGGAGCAGAGATAGGAAGAGTAAGAACGGCGGCAACGGCAGTAGGTGGTAGCAGTAGCCGTTGGAGCAGCGATCTGAAATAGGTTGCTTTTTCATATTAGTAATTCGCGCGGTAAGACTGCCTAAATATCTTTCAAACCCCAACCCCGAATCTTCAACCGCCCCCTGCAAAGGTACAGTTTGAGCAACCAGCTACATCTGGCCTCTGGAATGGAGAGTGCGGTGCTGATGGTATTGCTTGGCACGATTTTCGAGCACCTTGCTGATGTCATAGGATTGAGGCAGAGTTTAGAGTTCGTGAAGCTTGATTCAGGGTTTCAACCTGGCTTGGGTCTAGATTCTGGCCACGTGTTGAGTTCAAGGGAGGCGTTTGCACTAAAATTGTTCGGGATTTGCCAGCGAAGTCATGTTCTTGTTTTCGTTTTTTCGAGCTGACAAAGACATGCGCGCAGTCCTTGCGAAGCCCTGTCTTCAGAGGTGGCCCTGGATTCTAGAAAAATCATAGAGAGAGGTCTAAGTCTTTCCAACCTTCGAGGTTTAGCACCTCGCCAGTGCTTTTTCTTGCTGTGGCTCCTCGTGCCTTCCAGCTGTGGCGCGCCTCAGGCTGCAAACGGAGGTTTAGATGTTTAGCATTGATGTTTAGGAGACAAGACAAGTAAGTAGGAATAAGGAGTAGAAAAGCTGTCGTTGATCTATGCTCTGGACATCCTCCTCAGCCCTCGTGAGTTCTGCTAGCAGTTGTATTGAAGTCCTTTGCTTGTGACTTCCCTCCTTGAGACTTTTATCAGGGCAAACGACTGTAGGCCCAGTAGGCGAAGTCTCGAAGTCTTCTGAAGGGTGTGCCCTGTCCTGTCCACAACCTGGACCTTCCCGTGCTCATTCTCAAAGTGGATCCCGAATGATGGGCCCCTGAATCACAACATAAACAGTTAGCACCATATCAAGCAGTTGTCGAGAGCAAGCGCTATTTGCTTGCACCCACATTGCACAATCAGCTTCACTGCTTGCGGTGGGAGTCTCATTTGTCCTGCGCAAGGGTATGGCTGCTTATGCCGAGGGAACTTCTTGATCATCAAGCTCCGAATCAGAATCGGACACCTTAAAGTGCCTATTTTTCTTGGACACTTATTTCTAGACATAGGAGGAATCTAAGGGTTCCTCAAACACCTCAGCATCTTCCACCTTGGCCACCTCGTCTTACATTCTGTCGACCATACCTCGGGGGGGCCTGCTATAGCCTGTGGTGGATTGTAAAACCGAGGCAACCTGCTCCTTCTTTCTCTGCCATGTCTACCCGGAACTGCTCTGGGGCTGTATATCCTGGTGCCCTTCGGCTGAGAAGAAACCAGTAGAACAAGGTCTGGGCCTCACTTTGGGTAGGTTTTGCCGGGCTTGAAGGGTAAATCTTTCGGTCGTCTACCTTAGACGTGCATGCAGAGTGGGCACCGCTGTGGCATCATCCTTGCTCCATCCGGGTTACAGGACACCTAGTTTGATGGGACTTACTATGGTCCAATTTTGAGAAGAACTCCTCAGCCTTAGACCTGACAGTGAATTGAAGTTTGTCTGCTGTCGGGCTGTCAGCGTGGGCTGAACCTCGTCACTCGTCCTCGGGTCAGAACCTACCTTCAAGGCGTTGAGGGGAACAATGATACAATATGCACTTTTCTTCAACGCAGAATGCAGCCTATTATGCAATGAGCTCGCAGGTTGTGAAAATACATCTATTTTTGGAATCTTGGGAGACTCGAGTCTTTCCAGTCCAAGCTTTCCACGTCAGCCCTAAACCCCAAACCCTGAAGAATTAAAGGCAAGGCTGGAACCTCTGCATAGGCTCTTTCTTTCAAGATGCAGGTATGTCGGTTTGGATAAAGTGTCCTTGGATCAAGGGCTTCTGGTGTTTTGCAGAGGAGTCATATACTGCTGTACGGATAGTTTGGTATGACGGAAAATTATGGTCGTGGCGATGCCGCCCATGGATCTACATTAGCAAGCGACTGTCTCAGTCTTTTCAGGTCTTATGGGACAAGCCATTTCTAGTGTGCACGGAGGAGGTCTTGCACCCATTCTTTCGCGCTGTGCCCATCTTGTATGGGAGGAATCACATTAAAGTGAGAGGTCCTCAGTACGAGGATTACTCTTTGGCCTTCCTGTTCCTGACCTTATAATGATTATCCAGACATACTGGCTCCAAACCCAAGCCCTGAACACCAAATGATGAGGCAGACTGGTGAGAACCAATCCATCTTGGAGATGGTGAAGACCTTCCTCAATCTGACTTTCGCCATGGTGGCGCTCTTCAAAATCACCATGGACCTGCTCTCAGCCGTGTTGACCCCTCTTGCAGACACAAATGTTGCAATAGTAGTAGCATCAGGTGGAAGAGACCGCCGGATGAACAGGATAAGGTCTGACTCAGTAGTCAATCATCCGCCCAACATGCGCCGTAGGGCCATGCCAAATGTTCTTGCGTCTGAATCTTAGCATTCAGGTTAGGAATGGATGGTTTGCACAAGAAGGTGATGTAGGGTTTCGTCCATGGAGATGAGGTATTCTATCATGTACTCGAGAAATCAAAGTCACTCTGCAGCAGTCTGCAGCCTCAACATAGCCAAGGGGAATTGTAACACTTACCCCTGGGGAGTCCCCACTCTTTGACCTTAGGATGGTCGAACGGGGATGGTGAGGGGCTCCGTTACCTGCCCAGGAGCCGCATTTGGCTCTCACTTGCACTTGTCTTGTGGTGCACATGCTTTCATCCCCTAACTGACCTGCTACAGAATGAACAGAACAAGCAAGTCCAGCTTTCTGTTTCAAACTCACCGGTTGGCAGAGGGGCGGTAGCTGCGCAAATATCACCGCTGGACGAATGCAACCTGTGGAGCGCGACAAAGTTTAGGCCCAAGACTGCACCTGTTGCATATTGTGACTCTGACAAGCAAGCTGATAATACGCCCAGTCTGATCATCACCACGACCCTCAACAGCAATTACCATCACCATCATTCTCAGCGGCATGAACATCCACAGCCCACTACACCATAGCAACAGCAACCGCTGACCATAGCATGCCGAAGTCGGCTATGCAAACAATACTCAGGTCCATGGGGCAGCATGGAGACTCCTTAGATAAGAAGAACAGCTTCAACAACTTGTGGCAGCCTTTTGCAGCTCCGCCTTTGAGGAATTCAGGGCCTACGCAAAAGCGCGGCGCTTGAACCAGCCGCTGCACCTTGCGGAGGCGCGGGGATGTGGAATTGCTAGGCGCATCCTTTCATTATCAAGCACCTTCTTTAGGAAGGTAAGCTCACTACTTCTCCTTCTTCTGTTAAAGTTAAAGCTCCCGAAAGGCTCTCTCTGATATGTTGGTTCATGTGACGGGGATGCAGACTTCAGGACTGGAACAGGATCAGGAGGTAGGACGCAACGACAGAGAGGCGTGCAAGTATTGTCTCGACGTATCTGTCTTTCGCAGGTGGGAGTTTGTGTAGGCATTTACGATTCGTGCCATAAGCTGCCCACAAGTGGCTATCCCCAGACAGACCTTATCTGATATTCCTTCGCGCATGTAGGGGGGGGCATGAGGGCCGATAAAGGGTTGAAAGACAAAAAGTGCTTATGCAAATAGCGGTATCCTTCAACGCATAGCAAAGAGGGGAATGGTCTTGCCAGGATGTGGAGTACCAAAACGGTCACCGCTCTCAGAAGATTCTTCTGTTTAAGGTTGTGTGCCCATGGTTCACACTAGTCGTGGGAGGTTCATGGGAAGCTATACTTAGCATGGAAGCGCTGCCGAACATGCCACATACTAGCTTTCTAGGTTACCCCCTCAGTTCACTATAGTTGACAGTTGAGTTGGAGCTGCGCTCCGATTCTGGGAATCCAGTCTTACAGTCCTCCATAAGTAGACGATGCTCTGTCTTTCGTTGTCAAAGTGACTAAAGCTTCGACATCAACTTGTCGGTTGTGAAGGATTGATCACATACAGCTGCGTTGGGGAGGCCTCTTCCCTCAACCCTTCACCGTTTTCTAAGCCATGCAGTCCCACGCGCATCCCCGAACTGTTCAAGATTTTCCGACTAAGTGTTAGCAGCCTCTGGCAGCAGCAAAAGGCAGTAAAAGGCTATGTAACCTACTGTTGCAAAGTCTGATATGTTGCCCATGCGAGTACCAGGCAGCATTTATCCACCGCCACAGACATTCAGTATACGCGAGTACGTTATGTGGGTCAAGGTACTTTGTAGGGCCAGATTTGTGCCAGGAAGGAGGTGCTTGAAAGTGTGATGAGCCACCAGAGGTTGATGAGCTGCGCCTTCCCTTTTGCATGACAGCAAGAACAGTCATAGACAGGCAAACTTTATCAGAGTGAGCCATGAGGTAACCTGCGAGTAAACAAAAGACTGGGTCTTTAGTCACAATTCGCGTGGTGATACAGGTATTTGCATACACATATTCAGATAAAGTCAGATAAAGCATTGATAATGTCGAATTAAGCAAGGCCTCATCAGCCACAATTCTTCACCACGTCCTGCTCCCTCCCATACGACAGATACCCCTGACAGGAGCTCGATGAGGACTTGGATACTGAACTCTGCAAGAAGATGGGAGTCCAGCCGCTTGCTTAAATTTCATGTCGGCTTCTGCTGCTCAGGGGTTCCCGACTGGTAGGAAACCCAAGCTGCATTGAGAAGCTCAAGACAGCCGCAACTAGCCGCTGTCACCTTGACTCCCTACTATGTCCCCTACATATTTCAGTAGTTTCCATGTTCTTTTCCATTATCCCTATATATCCCCAATATGTCCCCAATATATTCCCAATATATCCCCCGCAATATAACCCTTATAATCCCTGTAGTTTCCATTTTCTTTTCCATTGTCCCGATATAGCCCCAATATATCCCCAATATATACCCTCTTTTGGAAGGCATCAACATGACCTTCCCTCCTGTCGCCTCAACGGCGCCCTAGTCTCGCAGTTTTTTGTTTCCGTAAGCGACCCCGAATTGTCCTTTTGCCGGCTCAGTCGTGCTTTGAGTGCATGCAGACTTCATCTGCATGAACATTGCCAAGATGCAGGAGCCCTAATAGAGGATCAATGGATGACTTGCAACTTTCAACCAATCAACCTAGCTTCCAAGCGCATGAAAGTCTGATGTATGGCATCATCGCAGCATAGGGACTTGTAGCTCCAGTCAACTCTGAATAGCACGCAGAAGTAATCGCAAACTACAGCACATGGTGGTGAAATCTGAATCTTCCCAAACTTGAGTCGGGGTTTCGAAAGGCTTGCCTCGGCGTGCTGGAGGTAGTTTTTAAAATTGATGCGCTTCCGTCCGGGATAGAAGGTTGTGTTGGGTGCAAGGCTTTCAGGAGGGAAGGTTTCCTTGAGCAGTAAGGCTCTCCTTCGGCACAGGTCCTACAATCCATACTATGCTAGTTCTGTACTTTGAAGGTTGCGCAAAATCAGCTGCAGGGCAACAGGTTGGGGAATTTCAGATAGGTAGACGCTTGAGAAGCACAAAGCGTTGCACTGTATTTCAACGTTTGGTGCTCCCACTCTGTCTTGAAGGGTTCCATGTTGCTGCCTGTTCTGGCTCCAGATTCAGAGCTCGTGCTACCAAAAGTTGCGAGGCACAGCTAGGCCTTCAAGGATGAACTCTGAAATTACAAGCCTTAAAGCCTTAAGGCATAAACGTTGGGCCACGACGCCTGAACCCTGTGCCTAAGTCCCCAGCTGGGAGCGTCAGGTTTGTAATTGTGGGCTTCTCCTGTGGCTTTCTCAATGGGCTCATGGGGCTCCCCGGGCCACTGATGATGGCCTCTCAGCTGAACCTGGTTGAGGTGTGTTGGCTTTGAGGTTTTGTCAAGATTGAAGTTACCGTTCTGGTAGGGTTGACGCTGTCTTCGGTCCCCTCACCCAGCTAGTCCCTAATCGCAATTTTTCCGAAAATATGGGTGACAGGACAGCAAGGCATCGCACCGGTGTACGTCTCACGGACACGAATGCTCAGCCAATCATCTACCTTTGGGATACGGTACTTGGTGTGTATAGCTCGGCTTGCGAGCCTGCATGAGTATCATTGTACACACAATGGTAGCGCCTGAGAGATGCCGATCACCAGATCGCTAAGGTTCGCATCAGCTCACTAGGCGAAAGATTAGACTGGCTGCGTCAGGAATGATCAAATGGTAGGGTTGACGTGCCGCAACGTGCTATTTCGGGAAGCTCCTAAACACTTACTGGCAAACCAGGAGCCGAAACAGCCTACCCAGACCATTCAGTTCCACCGTGACCGAATCGTGTGTCTGTTGTGATGGCAAGTTGGATCCAACAGATGTGTACTTATTTCCTCATCCAAAAATGTCTGCAAATTCGTCTGGGTTTACAGGATAATTTCCGAGAAGTACGCAGAATCGAAGCTTATGTGGCAAATGAAGTAGCCGCATTTTCAACAGAGCGAGCCGGAGGTTGGTGCAGGCCGAGCAACTCTAAGCACACCCAGATGTGTAATTTGAAGCGGTTTTCCACGCGTCCCTCACGTAGAGGGTTCCATATATTCACAGGTTGGGTGGTCACAAAGGTGCTTGTCATGGCATGTGTTGGGATTTTCGCGTTATAGCCGGCCATGTCGACCGCGCAGCGCCAATTCAGCTTTTCTTGATATTCATTTGCAATTGGGTGAAGAAGTGCAAGACTAAATATCTGAACACTAGCTGGACTAGCGCGAACAATCCTCTTCAACCACTGCTCAGGTGCATTTTGCGCAGGCGCTTTCTAACAGGAAGATGACCGCAAAGACTTGCTTCACGCTGACGCAATCGTTCTTCTTGGTTACAACGCTGATGCGCCTCTCTGCTCAGTGTAGTGTGGTTGCTTCAATGTCATACTTCTCGCAGCCGTCCCGCTAATGTGATTGATGCCTTCGGTCTGGGAGGAAGCGATCTTGACTTCAGCCAGCTGCAATGAGTGGTCATTGTTTTCGGTTTGCATGACGGTCATTGATGTTGTGGTTAGGGATTTGGGATTTTGGGCCTTCTTTGGGTTATACTGGCTCATACTATAGGCTTGGATGATCCTAGATGGATGCTGGCCCAGATGCTCATCGACAGTTTCAAAATCAGCTTGGTCCTTGCTCAGAGACGTAGCCACTTTTTTGAGTGCAGTACGGATGCTTGGACCATTCCAAGACTGAGACATTGTAGCCTGGATGAAGATCGGATGCGTTGTGGCTGGCAATGGTTTGCTGCACACAAGTAGGTCCTTGGTTTGTTGCAGTTGGGTGTTGGGTTTCTTCTCGGAGTGCCGATCTGCCACTAGAATCCCCATGCCGTATAATTTAACCCGAAAACTGAAAACTGAGACCTCACAACTTGCTCTACAGCGGAAGGCGCTGCATCCGCCCCACATCCCACATCTAATGGACTATCAAGACATGCTTCTCACGCTGAGGCAATCTCGGGCTCATCCCACAATGAAAGCTAAACCGCAATATCGGGGTCAAAGAGCGGAGACCGGGTTTTGAAACCAGTAACACCGTAACGCTGCTGACACCTGCGAATCCTGTTCCCAATTTCGAGGACAGGCACTGGGCTCTGATCACAGACGAAACTTGAAGTTCCAACGCTTTCGACCCGTGAAGCCTCAAAAGCGCGCCAGCCCTGGATCCTGTGATCCTGAACTCTGAGGCTTATCGTCTTTGAGCTCCCCAGAGGTCAGGGAGGACTCATGGGTCTACCGCGCTGGTAGTGGTGGTCGTCCTGGACCAAAAGTAAACACAGAAGCACAAGTCGATGAAACAGCATTCTGGCACGGGATCTATTAGAATCCACAGGAGGCAGCAGTTGTAGCTTGCATCTGAAGCTCCAAAGCCGACGTTTATACAATATCGTGTGGGAGATCGATGCTTAGGGTTCCGGTATGCAGGGTTGGGGTGGAGTGCAGTTTCCTTCTTTACTAATCATTCCTTTCAGAAAGATATAGGGGATGTATGTGGCAGGTCTATGTATCCCTTGAAATTGTTTTGCGCTAGAGGGTTCTTGGAAGATCCCTCAAGAGAACCCCCAACCGACTGGGTCCGATCGGATCAAGTCTTGTTGGAGGCCCTTATTTCGTTGAAGAAGCGACAACTTCAAAATCGCCACTGACCCATGAACACCGTGTAGGCTTACGGGCTTACAGCTACCTCAGTCTCAGTCTCCTTCTACCTGTCACACGTCCCCTTTTGATTTTTTTCTTTGCTTCGGACCCCAGGCTGACGGGGCACACTTATTGAAGACAGGAGCCTTGACTTCAAAATTGTCTACATCCACTTCAAAACAAAGCTGATAAAAGCATGTACGAATTCTCGTCCCTGTCTATGCGTCAGTGGCCAAGCCACGTACTGAGCCTCAATCCGGGTTAAAGTTGGCCCGACAGGGCGCAATAGACTCCCAACTTTGTTTAGCCACTCAGCATGAGCCTGGACGATGCGTTCACGAATGCCCTCGCGGTACCAGGAGTTGACGGCTAACTGGCCGCTTGCTCTCGTCATTCCGCTGCCCTCCCTTGCGACTTGGCAACGTTCTCAAGTCTTTGCCTATAATTCGGCCATAATCTAAAACTCTTTAGAGGGGGTTATGCAAGGGATTATGTAAGAGATTACTACAGGGGTATTGCGGGGGATACTAGTTACGAGGAGTTTTGGCAATGGCTTGCGTAGCTTGGAAACCAGTGCTTGAAGTTCCTAGGATGATTCACCAAATGTTACCCCTAAAAGCTGTGGCAATTTTTTATCTAAGCAAGTTGCAATCTGAAGATCTAACCACTGGGCTAAACCCAAATTCTGCTATCTGAGGTCTACATCTCTGTATAATCATTACACGACTTGCAACAGTTCTCTGCACCACAAGTTTCCCACGATCAACGAACCCTTACATCAGTAAACTGGAGCTTCTCAAGTCAGCGGTCCCAGAGTGACTAGGTGACTCCCGAGAAACTCCCAACACAAACCCGAAGCTCTTTTCCGAGCCGAGGTCGGACTCTTTGCTGGGTGGTACGTCAGGAAACGCTCCTTGACATTTGAACTTCAAGTCTGTGCAGTCTTCAGTGCGGCTTCAGCATGTTGGCCTCTTGGGCTTATTTCGTTTGGCAGTTAGGGTGCGAGGATCTGAACTTGAACGGTGCCTTATCGCGGACAATGTCAGTTACCCTGGACGGTGGTGATAGTAAGGGCATGATGTGTCGTGAGGCAGCTATGTGATGTACAAGCAGCATAGTACTCACACTGGCCACGCGGGCCATTTGATGTTTCCAGAGCTGCTTTCGATCAGCACAGGAAGTCCGAGTAAGTAGTACTTTCTGACATGAAGCGTGCTTTAATTGTCATGATCGTGCTGGTGAAGAACTCGAAGAGACCGTTTGCAGGAGCAGCGGTTGCTGAAGCTATGCTAGCACCTGCTGCAGCTGCTGCAAATGCTGCCTGCTGTTGCGACGCTGATCCGACGACGATGATGGGGAGAAGGACGAGGATGACGATAACATCCTACTGCTTGTACTAGACTAGCATCGGAGGTGGCGGTACGCTATCCCTGCATTTCCTCTCTATGCTGGAGGGAAGCTCAGCCTCATATGGCTAAGGTCAGGAATCAACAGTTCGTGCCGTCACCCTGAGGTTCCGCGGGCCAAAATCAGGTGCTGAGGACAGTGCGCACCTACCAACTCACCGATGAGGTGTGGTGGTGGTGGCGGCGGAGGTGGCGTTGGCGGAGGTGGCCGCGATCGCAGTCACTCAGGTACACCGGTCCTTTCTCCGAAGCCTTTGTTCGCAGTGAACGCCCAACATCCAAGCAGTTACCGCGTTTTCAGTGATGGCCAGGTTTTAACACAACATTTCTTCTGCGTTGTGTCATTGCGCTCCTCCTCTTGTCATCTTTGATGCTTGGCAGCAGCGCAGGTCGTGTTCAGGGCCTGCATCCTTCCATCCCTCACCTCTGGGGGGGAGGTTGGAGGTTTAGATTCAGGGTTGGGGTCGGGCTGAGGGCGGATTGTCTTGGGCTTAAGGCTTAAGGCTTAGTGCTGACAGTTATCACGCCATCCCTCTCCGATTCCGTTCAGTTAGGACATTATGAAAAATACGAAAAGGTTATCCCTGGAACGCACTTCTGATTTACCGAGTTCTTGTGCGAAATGACTGAGCGGAGCCCCATATATGATCCGTTTGGTTTGCCAGCCACTTCTGTAGAAAGGCGTGCTGCTGTGCTCAGGAAGGACTGCCACTCTGTAAAGGCTGGGCTAAAGTTGCTTAGAGGTAATAATCAATTGTAACCACGTTCTCCACATTCTTTATTGCCAGATTCCCTGGTAAGATCCAATCTTCAGCAGCGGGCAAATGCAGGGATGCCTCTGGAGGATGATCTTTTGGACCTACACTATCCCGAGCCGCAGCTCTTGACCAAGCGCCAAGCAAAGATCTCCGGAGCCTTTTTGTCCCGAGCCCTGACAACCCAGGCATTCCCAGCAAGGACCAGAAAGCCCAAATCCAGTACCCAAGCTCAGATACTGGAGCCTCCTTTAGAAGACACGGTCCGCTACCATAATCCAGTCCTAGTTTGTTGTTTGTAAATGTCGTCCATCGATTTTCTATGCAGATCAGCCAGAATCCTAGAGCAGCTCTTGTTCTACATAAGCAAGTCTGTTAGTACAGAACGGTTTCATTTTGAATAAGGATTACAAGGACACAGAGACTTCCGGTTATTGCTCTATGGAGGTATCCTCTCTCCTGAAACGGACCGTGACTGAAATTCGGAGGCAACTGAAAAACGCCGACGTCGGCTGATTTCCGTCCAATATCCAACCTGTGCCTCCAAAAACATTTCCTTCCAGAACACACTGCGCAACTGAGATGTTCCAAGCTGCTGTCAGGTGCTGAATCAATTCCAGCAAACTTCTTTTGCTCCTGAGTACCAATGAGGCTTCAACCTTTAGTGAGTAACTACCTCAGGTTGTGATCTGTATAGTTCGTATAATTGGCTCTTGATACCGAAAGCCCATGCAATTGTCTGTAGAATGCCCAGGATGATCCCTTGGGTCCCCATATCAACCTAAGCATTCAGCATTCAATCTAGATAAGTCCCCATCTGATCCGGAAGGGATCGGTGATGGCTCAGCAGGTTTTGCGCTGAGTTTGAGCTCGGGTCTCCATGGAATGTCCCCGCGCCACGCACCCCTCCTCACAAACCTAGTGAGATTTTTTAAAACAGTCCTGACAACCACTTGAAAAATCCCTGATGCGAGGATGGGCCTTGGACTCTTGGAGAGATCGCCTTTGGGTCTTTGGGCTCTAGGCCTCCCGTCTGTGCAGGAGGTTTCAGATTTTGGGTTTGGCGCTTACTGTTTCGGGCTTAGGGAGAGTTTAGGGAGAAGGTCTTCGGCTACACGGGTCTAGGGTTGGGGGTGTAAGGACCAGGGCACAGGGTTTTGGGTAGGCAGTACAGCATAGTCAACGGTGCACATTCAGCCACATCACAGGTTACAAAGCGTGTGTAACTCGGTGTGCTAAGTCCCCCAACTCTGCAAGGTTTTCGGAATGGTTTACCTGAACACACGCCTTAAGACCACACAGGCCATTCTAAATGTGTACTTGTGACGGGACAAGATGCACCTTTACAGTCGATGTGTTGTCTAGGCCCCTTGCTTGCAGATTGGAGTTTTGAGCTTTTGACCTTCATCTTTCGAGCTTGGGTGTTTAGATTGGGCAGGCCTCTTTCATGAAGGTCCTGGCCCCGGAGCCACATTCGCACGTGGTTTAGTGACGCCACGCTGCAAGAGAGTGGGTACCGGAAGCCGCATCGCATGATGAGAATTGTCAA